CAGATATTCCAAACTAAAAAGTTTAGAAACCGATATTTACAGATTTACCAAAACTGATTTTTCAGGGCGATTCATATAAAATTTTAAGCATTTGTATGGTCAAATGTTTGTTAAAAATGTTGAAATTTTCCTTTGGTTTGGAGGTTTCTTTTGGTTTGGAAGCCAGTTTTGAGCGAAGAGAGGGCAATTGAACAAAAAGATCAATTTTAGAACCGATATTTATTATTATTACTTACTTACTTCCTAATTCGGAAAAAATCTTGATTCTGGGCGTTTTTCTTGGAACTTTCAGTATCTGATGACTCAAAAGTGTCTTAAAAAGATGGTATGTATTTCAAGTTGCTGCTTGCTCTAGTTTGAAAGATACACAGTTTTAAAAAGAGGTCATATTTTTACTAGCTTTTCATTTCCAACTGAATATAAAATAAGAAAATAATTTTTACTTCTGTAACAACGACGGGCATGCCCGTTTTTCTACCTGGAAAGTCCCAAATTTGGATATACGTAAATTGAGGGGCAACGGTCTTTGTTTTTTCGCAAAAACCGTACATTTTTTCAAAGAACCCAAACCAGCTTATCTGTTCCCAACTTGATTGAACTCATTTTTCCTTTGGGAAGCATTTGAGAAGGAAATAAGTCATTCAGCCGTGGATTGTTTTACGACTATGGCCAAAACATGAACAAATAATGCACATATTCAAAGAGTTTTCTGATAGTGAAAGTTTCCCAGTGCAAGCCGATGCATCGAATCCAAACGCAGCTAAAGCTCTTGAGCATATTGAAATCATGCACAATACCATTGTCTGGATGTCTTCGACGGCACAAAACCGCGGAAGTTGAATAGTGGTACCCTTCCAGTTGAAGAGCTGTGAATTAATGAATTGAACGCTCCAGCAAAGAATCTAAGCTCGTTCTAGACTCATTAATTATGGCGATGATAGCGACTTTTACCCATACAATATTTTTTTAATGATTTAATGTGTACGCCGAATGGACAACAATGGCACAATGCGCGCTGGTAGCTCAGCAGCAATGACTTGCAGCTCCTGATAAACCATTCTGGTGTCACAACATGTCTTTTGTGTGTGATGAGGACAGAAGCTGATGGCATTAAGGGCACGGTTCACTTATATGGCACACAAAAATCTTTAATTGGAAGAACGACTTCTTGTTCGGATAATTGGCTACCGGATAATACCGTGTGAATGAAACTCGGACGATCGCATCAATTTAGATGTCTACCATGTTTATTCATAATATTTAGTTATCAATGCAGGCTTAATCAAGCGGAGCGCAGTTAGATCGGACGAGCGCAGATGGCTTTTTCTGTCTTAGTATGGGAATTCGTCTTGTGTAATTCGAAGTTTAGACATGCAGGCTTTTTGTTCTTGTCCACTATCAAAAGGAAATACTTATCGAGTGGCTAATTGGGTAGTTCACACTGATTACTGATTAGATACTCTGTAGTTTTCGACTGCAAATTGCATTTTAAATTGGGGAAACATTGTAACTTTTGCGCCAGCTTGGCGGCACGGTTTTTGCCAAATGCTTGATGAGGAAATGTCTGCTAAATATCCCTAAATTTCTAAAGAACAGGGATTTTGCACTGTTAATAATTATGAGACACTTTGGAGGAGGAAGTGGGTGTACACACACTGAATGAAATTCCCTCAAGCAACCCTTTTGTAGTAATGTTACTGTGATTTACGGGCATAAAAAAACCCTTGAATATTTGTTTACTATCTCCAACACAAGACAAGCTTTATAATTATGTTTTAGTATGTTGGATAGAGAAGCCAAAACTATGTATGTGGTGCAAAGTTCCTTCCTTCACTATCACAAGGGTAGTTTCCATAACTTTTTAAATTTCGTCAATTTTGCCAATTTGAACATAACCAACTGCATAAATTAATTCCACCAAAACTATGCAAGAGAGAAACATGAGGTTCAGACTGTGGGATACACAGGAAGATACTCTACATTTATTGCAGATTTCGTGGCCAGCCCATCATCAGACTTTGATCTACAAATATTTAATCATTGATCATTGAACAGACGTTATCGGTGAACTCTAGCGAAATAAACGATGTCTCCAAGACTGAAAAAGTCTCAGCGCTTTGCTGTTGTACATTGGATAGAGAACAAAAAACTATATTTGTGATGAAAATTGCTTCTCTGATCATCAACAGGCTTTTCTAGCCAAAGATTTATTGATTTTTTGATGAAATTTCGTACATCTCTGGATAAAAAAATATTTTTGACAAAACTGCAGGAGTCACAAAAATGTACCTCCGTGTCTGCGACAGCGAAGGAAATTCTCTACATCTGCTGTAAATTTTGCTGTCTGATCATCATCATGATCTGATATGTTTGAGTCGATTTTGCAAAACACGCAAATCTAAAACTTTTTGAAATCAGGACTTTTTAAAGAAAACTGCCAACATTTTCTTATCGATAGTTCCCTTCCTAAAAACGCCCATTTATTTCTCTCTGGAATTATGTTAAAATGAGCATTCTTGCTCAGTTTGCTTCCGAGAAATGAGCAAAACTTTTGGCAAAATCTTGCACCCAAGTGTCTGATATTCAAATTTCGCTTTCTGGATCAAAACTACTCGAATTTCCTCAATTAAGTTGTTATGCCAACGATGACAAAACGATTTTTTTGGCTCAAATGGTTCTTGAAAAACTTCGAAAAAAGCAGCGTCATGTTTGACTCGTTTTTGCAACTAAAAAAAAAACACACAAATCTAAAACCTCTTGAAATCCTGACTTTTTTGAGAAAACTGCCAACATTTCCATATCGGTAATTCACTTTCCAAAAAAGCCATTTATTTATCTCTGGAATTATGTCAAAATGTTGTCTTTGCTTCCTTCTACAAGTCTTAGTAATAAAACTCTCATGCATGAGTTGTCGGTTAGTCAAAAGGGTCTAGTGTTTTGATACAAAACTATGGATTCTTGGCCACTCCTCTTTGTCAAGACGGATTGAAGCTGTTTTATCAATTTAGTCTTGAGTACATTTTCTCCACTTGTCCACAAAACATGTCAAACAGACCTCAAAATCGCTAAAATAGTAGACAATAAACCGACTATAAGACCGACTAAGATAAACCAAAAAAAGGCATTCGACTGATGAACCTTCACAAGCAGATGACCAGTCTGATACCTACAGATTCAACATTACATACTAATTTTGTGGACCCTTGAATCACATACACACTGTATTACCAATGGCTAGTTTTTGATTGAACAAAACACTTGGCCTATCACTTGTTCGTGATACCCGATCTTTACTGACGCCGATTATCTAATAAACAGGTGCGAAAAGAATGGCTCATTTGGTGGCCGAAAATCTCTTTAAAATACCCGTACACCTGCATATAATTCCAGTTCCCCAACAGTAAATCCGCATTAATTCGACATTACCGGCCTGTTAAACGGTAAGTAGGGACAAAAGGCTCAGGTCTTAATGGTGAACATTTAAAAAAGAGTTAGTTGGTGATGTCACCTCGACCTCACCCAGATGGTTAAATTGATGGTTCTTTGGTGTTCCTTCCAGTTTACCGTTAGAGGTGTTAACCGAAACGAGAAAACTCCCTTAATATGATTATCCTTAGAACCAGACCACTTTCAAGTGGAGGCTTTTAGCTAAATTCACACTCTACCCTATACCGTTATCAAAAGTGCACTTGTAACTTTGTCTCTTTTATTTAGTCTGCTTTTATTTTAACTTAGTCTGCTTTTATTTTCCACTGTTTGTCAAGCAAATATTTTTATTTCACGGAACAACCGAAATATACTCAGCTCTTTCAACGAAAAATATAAAATGCTAATGCTAAACACGATCAAGATGTGAATTTTAAAGAAAGCGCATTTGAGTTGAGAAAACACCACTTTTGATATCCAGTTTTTTTAAGATGCCAAAACTGATATTTTTTATGAAGATATCAGCGAGTTTGGTCTTACAGCTCTTCTAAAGGTGATAAAAATTTGAAATTCCGACTTATTTTCTTTATGAAAATACAATTTTTTAAGAGGGAACTGCATTCATGTGGCCGATATTTACTTAGTTTCAGATCAATATTGACCAGGCTTAAAAAAAGAGACTGCTACTCGTTTTAGTTTTGAAAATGCAGACTTTGAAAGGAGAGAGCGAATTTGAGCAAAAACATAAATTCGCAGATTGATACTTTCTAAGCCGGAAAATCAGAATTAATGAAAATTTGAAATTGATGTTTGGTTTTATCTGGAAAGGAGGATTTTTCAAATGTAAAAGCATTCATTAGGTAGATATATGACCGAAATTTACTCATTTCTAGATCCACATTAACTGGGCTAGTAAAAATCAGAATTTTGAGCCATTTAAATGAAACTTACCGCAATTGTAGCTTCAAGTGTATCATTAAAAAGCGAAAAAATTGAGTATGCTACTGTGTTTAGCTTGGAAAATGCGAATTTTTAAAGAAAACTGAGGCACGTTTGAGCCAAAAGATATTTTGGGATCGATACTTACTAAACTCGCAAAACTCAGCATTCTGCAAAAAATTGTTGAAACTCTGCGCATCTTTATATGCAAATGTTGTCTAAAGCCGATAAAAATTTCGAGTTTTTACTTGCACTTGTTTGGGAAAGAAGAACTTTTTAAAAATTGAAATTAAGTAAAACATCGATATTTACCAATTTTGAAATTCTCATTTACTAGGTTGGCAAAAATCAGCATTTTGAGTCATTTTCATCAAACTTCCAGCATCTTTAGGAAGAAGTGCCCTATAGAAATGACGGAAATTTCTAGTTCGCATTTGCTTTTGTTTGGCGGAGATTTTGAAAGAGAAGAATGCCTTTGAGGAAAAGCACGAAGAAACAACTTGAGGAACCTGGAGAAAGTTCAGCAAACTTTCAACATATTTAGAGTGAAATGTTTTGTAAAGATTAGTAATTGAAATCGCGCAATCAAAATGTTCTCAGCTCTTTCATCGAAGAAAATAAATGAAAAACTTTCGTTCTTTAAAGGCATGTACTGAAAGTAGTGCGACAATGAACACTGATGAACCAACCAATCAGATTTATATCAAAACCCTTCAAAGGCACCTCAGAATCATCTCCAAAAAGTCGTCGTACTTGATATTGATGCTGCCCGAATAGTTGATGTCTCTGTTCTTGAATTCATCGGTGAACCGCTGGATCTGGATGCAGGTGATGATAAACTGGTCCAAAGACATTTTTCTGGCCTTCGGATTGTTCTTGGTGATCAAAAAACGTAGAAATTGCTCGGTAAAGTTGATGTCCAGCTGCTTCAACGCATAGTCCAGTTCAGTCTCATCCAGAAACCCCGATTTATCGCGATCGTATGTGTTGAATGCGGTTATCCACTGTCTGATGCAGTGGTAGAGCGATTCGAATTCTTTGATATCCAGACCACCATTCCGATCCAAATCAAGCAACCTGAAAATATCCGCACAAAAACACCAAACCATAAGAATAAGTGCCCAATTTTTGCCTACCTGACGACAAATTTGCAGGAAGTGTCGGAAAAATGCTTGCCCTGGTACACCTCGAAAGCCTGCTGAAGCTCCTTGGAACTGATCTGGCCTTCCACTTTGGTTTCCATTGCTTTGAACCATTTTTCCACAGCTGGATGCACGGTGTTTACGCGATTAAACTGGCCAGTTACAACCTTTCCTGCAATGGGCGAGTATTTTTTGCGATCGTGGGCATCTGGAAGAAGTTCCGCAGGTTATAAACAGTAGTGGAAAAAATGACTTGTGAATCAGAAAATTGCAATTGTTTTCTTTAAGTAACATCTTGTGCGATTATGTTGAACAAAAATAATGAATTTTCCACCAATTTTGAGGAGGAAATCATTATGATGAAGAAACTTGCACATACCTCGGAGCACGTCGGAAATAAACAGTTTTCTTCGTTCTTCCACTGTATAAACTTTGGGATTGCAACAGGGCTTTTCGGGCCTTTCTGCAAAAAAAATTGTTTCAGCAAACGAACCAAAACTAAATGAGTAAATGCAGCATTTTAACCACGTGATGAAGCTATTTACACACAAAATACATCGCATAGGAGACCCATATTTCCTAGGCTGGCAAAAATCAGCATTTAATGCAATTTTTATGAAACCTACAGCATCTTTAGAGCCAAGGGTCTCCTAAAGATGTTCAGAGTTTGCAATTGCTATGTCGTTTATTTCGGAAGATAATTGATGTAAAACTTCAATATAAAACCAAAGTTTACTAATTTTGAGACCCAACAATTTTAAGCCGTAAAAGTCATCATTAAGTACCTAGATTCGTTATTAAACATTCAAAACTTTTTGGGTCAAGTATCTACTAAAGGTGTGGAAAGATTCTGATTGCTACTCGCATTAGTTTGGAAGATGTGAATTTTGAAAAAAGAGAGCGCATTTGCACAAAGTTTCAATTTTAAGATCAATGTTTTCTATGCTGCCAAAACTCAGAATCTGCGAAAATTGTTGTGAAGCGTTTCGCATTGTCTTCTAGAGGTGGTCAAAATTTCAAACTTCCGGAACTGTCCGGAAGAAGCAGAATTTTAAACAATAAACTTCAGCTAAACACATTTTCAGATCCAAATTTACCAGGTTGCCAAAAAACAAGTTTTTGAGTCATCTACATGAAACTTCCAGCATCTTTAGTTTCAAGTCCCGACTAAAGATGTGCAAAGATTCAGATTTCTACTCTTAGTTAGTTTTAAAGATGCAAATTTTACAAACAAAGATTGCACTTAAGTCAAAACATCAAAAAAACAACTTATAGCTGGGAAAACTGAAGTTTCCTTGAAATTTTTGTGAAACTCAGTATATTTATAACCAAACGTTCTCTAAAGTTGATAAAAATTTCAACTACTAGTGGCTCTTGCTTGGCACAGGCCAATTTTTTAAAAAGAGGCTGAAAACAAGCATAAAGAAAAGATTTTACAACTTTGAGATTAACATTTACTACCCTGGAAAAAATACAGTTTTTAGCCACAATTAAAGTCTGAAAACTTTCCTAATAAAAATTCAAAAAGATTCACATTGATACTAGCGTTAGTTTTGAAGATGGGAATTTTTAACGGAGAGAGCGCAATCGAGGGATAGATTGATTTTCACTAGTTTTGAGATCAAGGGTTGGCAAAAATCAAGATTTTGACTCACTTTTATAAAAATTCTCAAAACTCTTCTGAAAATGTGGAAAGATTCAGATTGATGCTCGTTGGTTTTCAAGAAGCCATTTTTGAAAGGGAGAACGCATTTGAGTATAAACATCAATTTTGAGATCGATATTTAATAAGCTGGAAAATTCTCATTCCTCTCATGGAAAATGACTCATTAATTACGGAAAGTTTTTGAAGCTTTCAGCATTTATAGTGAGACATGGCGTTTAAATACGAAAACAATTTCAAGTCGATACTGGTGATGGTTTGTAAAAATAAATTCTTAAAATGATAAATTGCAGTTAAGAAACAAACTCAAGTTTCAACAAACAGAAAAAGTCAAAGTTTTCAACAAACTTTGAGCTGCATTAAGGTCAAGTATGTTCTATAGATGATGTAAGTTTCTGATTCCTACTTGCTTCAGTATGGAAGTTACAAATTTTAAAAGTAGAGAGCGCATTAAGAAAAAATATGAATTTTTAATAATAAATTCTAAGCTAGAAAAATTTGGGATTGCGCAGAAAGTCCATTAAACTCTCGGTATATATAGAGTGAAATGTTGTCTAAAAATTCCGAAAATTTCATAATAATCTTTGCTATTGGTGGGAAAATGTGAATTTTTAAAGGCGAGTGTGTGGAAATAAAAGTGAAGATATCCATTACGAGACAAGTACATATTAACAAATTTTATATTTTAATTTACTAATCTGGCAAATATCAGAATTTCATTGAATTTTTATGAAACTTCCAAGGCTCAGACAGCGAAGTTGCGGAAATACTGAGATTGCTACTCGATCTAGTTATGAAAATGTAAATTTTTAAATAAAATTTTGCTTTTTGTAAACATCAATTTGAATATTGATGTTTACTTAGCTGGGAAAACTCATGATTAACGGCTATTTTTATTAAATTCTCCGCCGTTTTAGAGCAGCCTGTCTTCTAAAGATAGTGAAAATCTCAAACCACTACTTTCTCTGGCTTGGAAAATACGAATTTTTCAAGGAGTGAGCGCAGCTGGCTAAAAAACATTCATTACGTTTTTGTTGACTTTTGATGCCAAGTTTTTAAGCTCTAAAAAATCAGGATTTGGTGCTTTATTCATAGAACTTTCGCCACTTTTTGAGTCAAGTCATGCGTCTTCTAAAAATCACCGAACTACGAAATTATCATCTGCCTTGGTTTGGAAGATGCACATTTTCAAGGCAAGAGCGAACTCACTTGAGTGAAAATTTGAGACCCCCATTTTCACAGTTGGAAAAACTATGGATGTCGGCATATTTTCCTATGCAACTTCCGGCATCTTTAGAGTCCAGTAAGGTCTAAAGATGCTGAAAATTTCAAAGTTTTACTCCCTCTACTTTCCCAGTTGCGAATTTCTAAACGTGAGACCGGAGTTGTTTTTACTCTCTTTTCTCAGAAAGTAGTGTTTGCAAGGTGCATTAAAAGTTGAAAAACTCACCTTGTGGAACATGTTCTGCCATTCTGATGCTTTTTGGAATATTTTTGGGGAGCTATGAGCTTTTCTGATGAAAACGGTACTGGTTAATTTCGACTGCAATGAATGACAAATGATGACAAAGTGACGCCGGGTACTTGGATGGTGCCCTCAAATCCACCTGCTTCTATTCTACAATACCTGAAAAAACACACTGTACAGGATGGTTCTTAATAACCCAAAGATAATATCTGCAAGAGCAGAGAAAATTGAATGGGATCAAGACGAAGTGGACAAAGTTAAGCGACCTGAAGAAGATTATCATCGAATTGAATCTTCAGTCTGGACACTTCGTGTCGCACTTAATACGTTGATGAAGATGCGGAAGTGGTTTTTGAAGATACTGCAGAAGCAGAAACGTTGAATGAAGACCTGCAAGCTAACAATATTGAAACAGTAAACTCTTATTCTTCTGGAAAAGCTCGCAGGAAACCAACAACCATCAAGTGTGTCAGTAGAAGAAAAATGCAACATGAGCAAAATCTACAGATCAGTTAGAACTGAACATCAGTTAGAAATGAAGAACTGAAAGTGCCTGATGATGATGGTATACGAGCAGAGGCCACTAAAAGAGGCGGCTACACTTTATTATGTACCATAACACCTTCGCTGAATAAGCTACTTGGCAGAGAAAAAGCGTCTGTTTTCCTGAAACTTTACCCACTAACGATGTGAAGTCTTCGGCATCCAAATAGCTTCTCCCCAACTTTCCCTGGTACCAGCCCGGTATTTTACCCGGTGAGTTCGAAATGTAAACCAGCATCTTGATAAGCGAGTGGAACGCATGGCGATGTTAATAAAACAATTTAGATGTTTTCTCGTTGGTCCGAAACAAATGATTTATGAAGGCCCGGTCCTGATTTGACAAGTCATGGAGCCCATAATGAAAACATCTCATGGACAGATCGCTAGTCATTTCGCCGCCTACTTCGTGACTTTTGACGCTGACTCCGTCTGATGATGGATTAACTTTAGGTTCCTCATACATATTTATGGCCAGCCTATATTGTCTTCAATTAGCATTTTGTTTAATCATGCCATTTTAATTTGGAACCACTGAGTGATTTTATTTCTTTTTTATTTAATGACGACGACCATCACGATGCCGATGTTGTTGATGATGATGATGATAATGATGATGATAATGATATTAAGCCGGTTCATTACAGGTTTTAATTACTTTGTACTTTGAGGAAATTGGATACTAATGGAGGGCGCCGGTCTGGCAGATGCTGAGTTTAGTTGGACAACAACAAACTGGTGCAGAGGACTTCAAATTACGTCATCCATTAATGGTCCATAAAGAAGTATCGGAAGGTCGCCTGCAAGAGATTGCAGGATGTCTAAGGAAACAAGCTTCAAACTTTAGGAAGACACTTGGAAAAGTGAAGGATATTGAGGATTTTCTAAAGAAGACAGAAATATCCCCCACTTTTCAAGGTCTTCCAACTGGTTGGTGTTGATGCAAAGCTGATCGAAAGATGGCTTTCCATGGAGGATGCTATGAAATATTGATAAACGGGGATAAAAGATAAAAAAGAACAAAGATGCACCCCTTGGTTTTCCATTCTTTTGACGAACTTCTTAGGCCACCGAGCTCAGACAGCTTTTTTAAAAAGCTTCCAAGACAAGCGATGCTACGAAAACGATCTTCAAATTTCAACTTCAAATATCAGCAAAAGGAACTTGAATAAGAGGAGAAAATTGGGAATTTGCTGAATACATCAGAAATATGCTCTTCTTAAACAGTTTAGCGTTGATGGGAAGCTGATGGATGGTAGCTTTTATAGAGGAAAGTGTGGAATATTCAGGAATGAAAGATGAAGAAGAACAAAAGAGCAACCTTTCGGTATGCTTTTATTTGATCAACTTCTCTAAAGGCCACCAGAGCCAGAAATTGAAAAAGGCAACAATCTTCAGCTTCTAACATCATCGACAGAGACTTGTATGAGCGAATGATATTCAACATATGCTGACTGCAGAAATATTCATTACTTTGCAAAGTTTTTCAACTGTTCGGTGTTGATGAAAATCTGAAAGAAAGTTGGCTTTACAAGGAGGAAATCCACCATTCAGGAACAAAAGATGAAGAAGAATAAAAAAGCAACCCTTTAGTTCAATTTTCATTTGATGAACTTTTTCAAAGGTCATCAAGACCAGATGTTATAAGGAAGAGTTGCTGAACAAACGGTTTTCAATCTCAACTTCTAACATCATTTAAAGAGACTTGCAGAAGCGGAGGATTTAAAGAATTCGCTGAAGAACACAGAAAAAATAACTTGTTCTCAAAGTTTTTAAGTTTCTAGCTGATCGGGGTTGATAGAAAACTGATCGAAAGAATGCCTTACACAGAGGAAGCTTTGATAGATTGATGAATGATAATAAAAAAAGCAGAATTTATTGGTTTCGATTGATTCGAAGAACGATTCAAAAGGCCACCCAGGGCAGTTTCGGTCTGAATGAAAGGGATTTTGATATTGACCTAAAACGAATTAGAACATTTGGTTACGAAGGATGATAGCAAAGCAAAAACATTAAATTAATATACTGATGCAACAAAAATAAGCGCAGAGGAGGTTTCTACAGCGCATAATCCATGTTAGAAGATTCGTTTTCACGACGGTCCGAAAGTCCTAAAAACTCATCAGTTTCGATTTTTTTCTTTTGCAATATTTTTTGGATAGTTTCGCAATAAAGATTGATATTTAGTCTTCACTTTACAACTTGAACAGGAAACAATTAATGGAAATAACCAGACAAAAACAGAAAATAATGCAAACTAGAAAAAATTAAAACGTCTCAAGATTTCAACATGCTTTTTTCGGAAAAAGCGCGGGAATGTTTCTTTCAGGAGAAGTTAACCTAACACTGAAAACACCACAATAATTTCATGTCGAACATCTGAAAAGATCAGGCTTTGCTCTTCCTGTAGCGCAAATAATAAAAATTTATGAATACTACACAAATAAAACTGTTGAGTTTTTCTTGGTTGTAGGCCGACGGGAAGCAGAATTTCCTCTGGCAGAGAAAAGCTTGCTAGGCGCAGCAATCATCTCTGAAGATGCAAGCCACTCGTGCTCGCGAAACGTCAGGAAGAAATCCTTTGCCCCAACGGCCTAAGATCCTTAAAACATCAAAAACTTTAGTTTGTTCAAGACTGTAGTTGTTCTGTTTGGTGTTGATGAAAATCTGAAAGAAAGTTGGCTTTACATGGAGGAAAGTTTGGCCCATTCAGGAACAAAAGATGAAGAAGAATAAAAAAGCAATCCTTTAGTTCAATTTTCATTTGATAAACTTTTTCAAAGGTCATCAAGACGAGATGTTATAAGGAAGAGTTTCTGAACAAACGATTTTCTATCTCAACTTCTAACATGATTTAAAGAGACTTGCAGAAGCGGAGGATTTAAAGCATTCTCTGAAGAAGATAGAAAAAATAACTACTTTTCAAGGTTTTTAAGTTTCTTTTGAAAGTTTCCTAAGAAAATTGGATTTACATAGAGGAAGCTGTGGTAGATTCATGAATGAAAATAAAAAAGGTACAATGTATTGGTAACTTTTTGGTTTCGATTTATTCGAAGAACGATTCAAAAGGCCAACAAGGGCAGTTTCGACCTGAATGAGAGGGATTTTGAAATTGACAAATCAGAGCGTTTGAAAACGAAGGAGGATACGAAAGCAAAAATATTTAATTAACATACTGATGCAACAAAAGTAAGCTTACTAAAAACTTTTAGAAACAAAGAAATAAAAATCATAGAAAATACATTATTGACTCGAAACTGGTGAGTTTTTCAAGTTTTTTAGACACTCAAAGGAGGTTTCCTCAGCGCATAATCCATATTAGAATATTCGTTTTCACGACTATCTGAAAGTCCTAAAAACTGACGAGTTTCGATTTTTTTCTTCCGCAAGATTTTTTGGAGAATTTCGAAATAAAGATCGAAATTTAGTCTTCAGTTTATAACTTGAACAAAACACAATGAAAGCAAAAAACCAGACAAAAAGAGAATAACGTAAATCAGCAAAAATGAAATCAAATCGGTTTTGGGCCGACGGAAAAACAATTTCCTCTGGAAAAGAAAGGCTTGCTAGGCGCAGCAATCACCTCTGAAGATACAAGTCACTCGTGCTTGCGAAACGTCAGGAAGAAATTCCTGGCCACAACGGCCTAAAATCCTTAAAACTTCACCACTTCACACTAGTGCAATGGCCGCGAAAGGTGAATGAACTCGTTTAATGTTTACTTGAGTTTGGTTGAAAGGATGAAGTAGAAACGAATAGAAAGAGTTCAAAAATACAGCAGTTGCACTATTAAAAATCCAATTTTTCCTGGTCGTGTGGTTCTAGGCGAGAGAAACAGTCGGTAGCAGGAGGTTGAATCTTCAAGACAAATTTGTTTTCTCTTGGTGAATTGCTCATAAGTTTTTGCCAAAAAACAGCAACTTTTCACTCCATTTCCACGCCAATGCATCAAACAGTCAGTAAATTACCTTGGAATACGCCAATGTAAATCACCGGCACTCGAAACACGATGATGGATGAGATTTTCCACGTTCAGATAAACCGACTAGTGATACGTCTTGCTATTGTGCTGTAAATCTTGTGTCTCTCTAAGGTATCAAATAAGTCAATTGCCAATAACTGATTTTATTTGAGACCCGGATCAGATCATTGATCTTAATCTGAGCCTTTTTAAAGGTCACTTTAGACGTTGCGATTGTAGTTGGGAATAAATAAAAATCAACAATGACATCGAGACATGGAGAAATTCATAAAATCTCCGAAAATGCCTGAAGGCGGTCGATTAAATGACCAATTGAATCCGGTAGCAGTGTAGTTATTTAATGTGGGCTGGCTGAAATCGTTGGTAAATTGTCGAAAATAGGAACACACCGTTTATGGCTTTAAATGATGTTTAATTCAATTCTTCACCGACCCAGGTTGAGGCCCCCGCTTGATTGGGTCATCCGTTAAAAAATATGGCGTTCCTTTGTTGTTCCGTAATTGTTTCAATTTCTGCCTTTGGCACATGAATAAGGAACTTTGAGTCATCTGAACTAATTCCCTTAGAGCTCATTTTCATTATAACATTCCAACCTAGTAAATGAGGATTTTATACGCATATCAAACGTGAAAACCCGTTTTCCTTTAGAAATCCCTCAAACAATACCAGGGTGGCCACACTTCGCACCCTTCATGTGGACAACGAGACGAGTTTCAAGAGCCAATGAATAAATATAGGACGCAGCATCTAGATTCTAGATGGACCAGTCATCCGATATTGAGCAACACCTCTTTGAAAGCAACTGGTCAGCTGTCTGTGTTATTTCAGGAGGACAGTTTGATGTAGAATGTGCAGATTGTGATAATGGATTGTAATCGAGGGTAAATAATTGTTGTTAATACTCAGCTTGTTTGATCATCGGCCAATCTTCAGTTAAATCTAAGTGTACGGTACTAAAGCTACAGTCGAGCAGGATCACAACTTTCAAGTAGGGTCATTTGCAAAAATTCTTCACATTCAAACTGGTGCGGCTAGGTTCCTGAAATTTTGTCCAGCTCTAACTATGCTCGGGTCCTGACAATGTCCAAACTTTCAATTCATTCGCACGGCAGAATGATTTTGCAGGAATTAACAAACCTACAAGCAAACCCACAAGACTTGTCAAGGTGCAAATTAAAAAAAAAATCGTCCCGTCCAAACCGGAAACACTGGACACTTGAAATTTTGTCCGGCTCTAAAGACCGCGGTGACGCTCAAAGTGTACTAAATTTCTGTTTGAAGGGAGGGCAGAACGATTTTGTAGGAATTAGGAAACTTGCCAGACTTTTCAAGGTGGACATTTTCAAAAATTCGTCCCGTCCATACCGGAGCCACTGGATACTTGACATTTTCTCCAGCTCTAAAGACTACGGTGGCGCTCACAGTGTCCTACAATTCTGTTTGAAGGGACGGCAGAATTATTTTCCAAGAATGAAGGAACCAACACCTTTCAAGGTGGAAATTTTCAAAAATGTGTCTGCTCCAAACCGGAACCAATGGACACTTGACATTTTGTGCAGCTCTAAGGACCACGGTGGCGCTCAAAGTGTCCTAAATTTCTGTTTGAAGGGACGGCAGAATGATTTTGTAGGAATTAAGGAACTTGCCAGACTTTTCAAGGTGGAAATTTTCAAAAATTAGTCCCGTCCGAACCGGAGCCACTGGACACTTGAAATTTAGTCCAGCTCTAAAGACCACCGTGGTGCTGAAAGAGTCCTGAATTTCCATTTAAACGAACGGCAGAATTATTTTGCAGGAATTTGGAAACTTGCCAGACCTTTCGAGGTGGAAATTTTCAAAAATTCGTCCCGTCCGAACCGGAGCCACTGGCCACTTGACATTTTGTCCAGATCTAAAGATCCCCGTGGCGCTTGAAGAGTTCTAAATTTCTATTTGAACGGACGGCAGATTGATTTTGCAGGAATTAGGATCCCTACCGGACCTTTGAAGGTCGAAATGTTCAAAAATTAGTCCCGTCCAAAGTTGAACGACCGGACAGGGATTTTTTGGAAAATTTGTCCAGTGATTTCCCGAGTGGAGTCCTGGACGTTCGCAATTTCGATCTAAGCGAAATTCAGAATAATTTCCTGGAATTAACAAACTTGCAGTTAGGCCTGACAAAAACTTTAAATTTTGTGAACCAATTGAATAGGCGAAGTTTGAAAGTCTACTAAGCTCCAGAACAACTTTTGGAAAACCAAGCTGAAAAAAAATTTAGATTTTCGGTGAATTTTATAAAACTTTTAGCAACTTTAGAGCCTAGTCCAAGTGTCCTACTTGCTTTAGTTTGAAAGCTGCGAATTTTTGAAATAGAGAGAGTAGTTGAGTCAAACAACCATTTTGGGACTGCCATTTACTAACTTTTGAGCCTATCTTTAGCTAGCTGGTAAAAATCGAAATTCTGTTAGATTTTTCTGCCACTCTCAGCATCTTCAGAGTCAACTGTCTTCAAACGATGGTGAAAATTTAAATTTGATACTTGTTTCATTTTGGATAATGCAATTTTTTAAGAAGATGCAGTACTGGAGTGCAAACGTGGATTAGCAGATTAATTTCAAATTTTGAGGCCCATAAAATCGGGCTGCTGAATGATTTCTATGAAATTTTCCAAACATTTAGACTTGATATACAGGGTGCTCCGTAAATATGTTAACATATTTTAACAGCGTGTTCTCCTAGTCATTTTAGAGGGGGGTCTTCCTGAGAAGGTTTTTAATTTGAGGTTTCGTTAAAATATTAGTTTTTGTTGTTGTCCTTTAAAACGATTAAACATAGAAACTTAAATTTTCGTATACATTATAAGCTAATTGAGTTCCATTTTATGATAGTGTTTCGCGGTCCAGTTTGCTTTTATACAGGGTAGAAATGTAGAACGCATACTTTTTTTTTGTTCAGAACTTTTTTGTGTGTACCTAAACTTTTCTTGACATAATCTTGTTAATTACTACAGTTTATTTACCAACTTTTCTATCTCTTATTGTTTATTCCTAAAACCACTAGTTTGTCCGCACAAAAATAAAATCGTTTTCTTTGCCATTCTCAAAATGTGTAAGTAATTAAGTTATTTTTTTTAAATCCAATAACGTTTTCATATAATAATTTTGGTACAATAGTTGATTACTAACAACCTAAATTATTTTTCTAAATTGTGTATTTTGGTTCAGATTACAATTATTAAGTTTGAATAAATTTTACTTAAATAATAACATGGTAACAATATGCGCAACCATGTAAATAAACAAAATTAAATTTAAACAACCATTGGTCGCTTTGACATTCTTGGTATAATCGCAGTATTTTAATGAAATTTAAATTTCCAGACCGTACAGTTTGCACTGAAGTTCTTATTTCATTATAAATATTAAATATGTTTTCCTGAAGTTTTTCGATTGTACCTATTCACTTCTGTTGAATATACCGTATTTTTTAAATGGCCCCAGAAGTAAAAATCAAGCGCATTTAGATCGGGAGATTTAGGAGGCGAGTTTATAGGAGCTTCTTGACCTCTCTCAATCTTGGAAGGCTTGGAAAGTTTTGATCAAACCGAAAAGATTTAATTTTTTTGCCGGCAAACTAGTGATCTTAGGAAAAAAAACAATATGAGAGAAAAAAGTTGATAAATAACTTCTTCTATGTTTAACCGTTTTAAAGAAAAACAACAAAAACTAGTATTTTCGCCATTTTGGAGATCAAATATCTCAAAAAGAAGACCTCAAACCAAAAAAAATTCTCAAGATGTCCCCGCTCTAAAATAAATAGGAGAACACGCTGTTAAAATATTTTTAAATATTACGGAACACCCTGTATAACAATATAATAAAACACATTTTATAACTATTGTAAAAACTTCAAATTTCTGCTTGTCTTGCTTTGGAAAATGCTCAGTTTTAAATCAGATGAATCATTTGAGAAAAAGCATCCGTTATTATTAAGATCCACATTCACCAAGCTGGAAAAAATGTGAATTTTCGGCAATTTTAATGCAACTTTGGACCTTGGAAAGAGTGAGTTTTTCAATCACGGAGAGCAGTTGAGTCATGACGTGCATTATTTTACGGCTAATTAAAAATGTTGAGGCCCATTTTTAACAAACTGGAAAAAATCGGCAATTTCTGCGATTTTTATGGTGCTTTCAGAACAGTAAGGCCTAGGTGCTCTTCGACGGGTGGTAAACATTTCAAGTTTGTATCTGCCTTATTTTAGAATACACGAGTTTTTAAAGAGAGGGCGGATTAGGGCAAAACTTTCTATTTTGAGACCCATATTTGCCAAGCTGGAAACTGTCCAACAGCTTTAGAGCTGCGTACCTGCTAAGCATAAAAAAATTTCAAGCTACTACTTGTATCAATGTAAAAGTTGCAAATTTTTAAAGCAGGGAGTTCAACTGAGTAGAAACGCACAATTTGAGACTCAAGTTCGCTTAACTGGAACAACCTACACAAGAATTCAGCCGATTTTTGTGACATTTTTCGCATGTTTAGCGACACGTGGTTTCTGAAGGTGGTAAAAATTTCAAGTTGCGACTTGCTTGACTTTGGAAAGTGCGAATTTTTCAAGCAGCGACAGTCGTCGATTATGAGGCGGCTATTTACAAATTTTGAGCCCGACATTTAACAAGGTGGCAAAAATCAGGAACATGGAAAATTTTTAAGGCACTTTAAGTGCCTAAGAACTAAGTGTTTTTCGAACCGTGGTAATATTTTCAGATTTCTCTCTGTCCTATTTTGGAATGTACGAATTTTGCAAGAGAGGGCAGATTAGGGCAGAAGTTTTATTTTAAGACCCCCATTTAACCAGCCAGAAAAAAATCAGGATTTTCGAAAATTTTTGTGCAACTCAGCATTTGTAGGGACGAGTGCTGTCTAAATATCGCAAAATTTTCCAGTTGAGACTTGGTTTCGTTTGGAAGTTGCAATTTTTTAAAAGAGAGAAAGCTTAACTGAATAAATGGCACCATGTGAAACCACATTTGCAAAACTGATAAATTTCAAGAAGACGGCCGATGTAACTTTCGCAATTTTTATAAAACCGTCAGCATCTTCTCATTGAAGGTCTTTTGAAGTCATAGGCCAAAGAAGTTTTTTCTCTCGCTTTTTCTCGTTACTTTTACTGGCTCCACTTCACTTCCTTAGCTTGCACTTATAGGTTCAAATGCACGAAGGATCAACAAATCAAAAATTACTGGATCAACAGATCGCTCCTGCCAGATTGACTTCCACCTAACCACCATTGTGACAACGACATTTTCCAATGGACCTTTGGGTCCATCTCATCTCCTGGTTCCTCTCCATTAATTCCATTGAATCTAATGGGAAAGTCCTCACTCCTCCCCCCGGGGGCAATGACACAGAGATGCGAGTGATCAAAGGCTTTCCTTGTTCAACCAACGATTTCCCCTTCATGGTGCTGCTGGCTGGGAAATCAAAGCCTGCAGGATGGGCGAGACTGTGTGGAGGATCCCTGATAAATGCGGTTTGGGTGTTGACTGCAGCTCACTGTGTGGTTGAAAACCGTGATTATGCGGTCTTGGTTGGGCTAAACAGCCCTGGAAAAGCACGAACAGATATCGTGTTGGTTAGAGGAATCTACTCGCATCCGCAATTTGATCGGCTGGATTTTTCCCATGATATTTCCATGCTGAGGTTGGATGAACGCGTGGAAGTGTCCGACTACATTGAGTATGTGCAACTTCCCAGAGTCCTTGCAACGAAGGAACCAATCGTCCCGTGCTCCCAAGCGATGATTATGGGCTGGGGGAAAACTGAGTCCAGCATTCCAGACTTGGACAACCTGCAATGTGCATTCGTTCCCATGTTGGCGATAGATAAATGTCAGGAAATCTTCAGGAGGCACCATGCAGTGGATATGAGGGACGACTTCTTCTGCACATTGTCAGCAGATGGAGTGGACGCATGCCAAGGAGACTCTGGAGGACCGCTTCTGTGTGATTCGGTACAGGTAGGAATCGTGTCCTGGGGTATCGATTGCGGGAAACCGAACAATCCCGGCGTCTACACCCGAACAGACATCCACCTGAGGTTCATAACGCACGTGATGAAGAATAAAGCGGCTCCACCCAACTCCTTGCGACTCCCCCTTTTTATGGCTGCACTGTATATGATAAAACGCTAATAAAATTACGCCATGTAACCGATCTGCCTTATTGTCGAATATCAATTTATAAACCGAACCCGCTTTTGGTTCGGATACTCCACATTTCGCCACGTAACGCACTAATTGATTTTTTTGATGAACTCTCCGATGTTTGGACAACTCTATAATGTAAACCAGCTCACGGTTCAGATACACGAACCGATATACTGAAATAATTGATTCGTGTTAGATTTTTGCCAGTCATTCGACAGGTACATGAAAAGGTGAACGTTAGGACATCACATTGCATGTCAAGTCGGCTGAATTCTTCAGCCCGATGTCTTCATCATCAACCATGCGTGTTCAATGTTATCTAAATGGTGCGCTATTAGCTACAAAAGGGCACTGAGAAGACCACGTTTATTCACATGTTTTCCTTATTCCGCTCTCGGTAGCTGATTGGTTAATCGGCGAAATAATGAAGTAATCATTTTGGTGGCGATTGGCCATTAGACAATATCTTGTGCATGAAACGGGTCGATTAAGAAATGTTCAACTCCAGGCAAGATAAGGTCGGTGCAGTCGCATTGGCCTGCCCGCAGGCCTGATTTGTATCCAATTGACGACCATTGATTAGTTTATGAACTGTTTTGAGCTTTTAATTAAATTTCGACCTCATTAATTATAAGCAACATTGCGTGTAAAATACAGAGTGATTTGAAATTGGCGTTTTTCTGAATCTGATTTCTGCATAGCGATGAAAATTCTCAATCTGCGCAAAACCGTTGAATGCCTTTTCAAAATTTATAAGGAACATGGTGTTCGTATGGTAATGAAGGTATTTATGGTTAGTTTTCAAAGTGTGGTCTTCAAAACTTAAAATGTATAACAATGTCGACCCTGCACAGAGTTGTTGTTTTGGAAGCTGTTGATGGAGCCGAAATCAGGTTCCATATTTTGCTACTGTTTCAGAAAAATTGCCTCATTTTTAAGGCAACTTTTGAATCTTGCGCAAGAAAGCGTTTTATCATCATTTCTAGAAATCGTTTTTCCACTTTATGTTGGAGTTTAGTCGATTTTTATAAATCCTGCTGCCTCCGTATAGTCACGTGTGTTATAAAGGCAGGGAAAATTCCAATTTGCTACTTTTACACGAGTTTGCAAAATGGAGAGAGAGCGCAGTGGGGGGATAAAAATATCAACTTTCAGATGTCTCCTAAGCTGGAAAAAATGCGTATGCAGCGAGATTTTCATTTCAGTTTTGTTGTGTCTCTATGTTCGAGTGTCTTTTAAAGATGATGAAAACTTCAAACTATTAGTTTCAAATTATTCGTTTGGATACAAATTTTTTTTTGAGAGAGCGCTTCTGGGCAATAAGTAAGTTTTCAGACCCACATTTACTAAGCTGGAAAAACTGAGGACTTATTTATTTCTATTTCGGCTATTTCGATAAAACTTTCCACATTTGTAGAGCCAAGTGTTTTTAAAAAATGGTGAAAATATCAAATTAGTGCTTATGTATTTTCAGAAGAAGCTCAATTTTCCAGACCCATCATTAACAAGTTGACAAAAATCGGAGTTTGGGGCGATTTTTATAGAACTTTCACCATATATCGAGTAAAGTGTGTTTTACAAATTGGGCAATTTCCAAATTAGTATTTGTTTACAATATGCACATTTTTTATGGTAAATGCAGCTGGGTTTAAAACTCAATTTTCAGACCCTTTTTACCTAATTTCAAAATATCAGGATTTGCCCAAATTGTTATCAGATCTCCAGCGTCAATCGTGTTTAAAGAATGACACAAATATCAAAAACATACGTGCATTTGTTTGTGAAATACGAATGTTTTATGAGAAAATGTAATTGGAGAAAAAATTCCAATTCTAGACCCAGGTTATTTAAGCAGACAAAAATCTGGATTTTGGGTGATTTTTATAAAACTTTCCAGATTTATTGTGTTAAATGTCTTTAAAAACAGCAAGAATGTCAAATTTTCAATTGCATTTGTTTGCAAGATGCGATTTTTTAATAGGAAAGCACAGCTTAGTGAAAAAGGTTAATTTTCTGAGTCTTAGTTTCCAAGCAGGTAAAAATGTGGATTTATTCAAATTTTTATAAAACTTTTGCTATCCATACAGTGAAGTGTCTCTTAGCAATTCAGTTAATTCAATTCAAGTTATGGCGTACTTTGGTTTGCAAAGTGCGATTTTTTAAAATAAGCCGCAGTTAGGTAGAAACTTCTATTTTCAGTCCCATATTAACCAAGCTGGCCAAAATAACGATTACAAGGGATTTTTAAAAATTGTCTATATTTATCGAGTCCTGCGTGAGTTCTAAAAATGCTGAAAATGGCAGGTCACTACTTGTATTTGTTCGCAATATGCGAATTTTTGTTGAGAAAGCGCAATTGGGTAAAAATTCAAAATTTCAGCCGGATATTTGCGAAGCTGCCAAAAATCAAGATTCTAAACAATTTTTGTCAAACTTTACCTGTCTGCATAATGAAGTGTCGTCAAAAAAATGGCGAAAATTTCAAAATATTTCTTGTGTTTATTTGCAACAGGCGATGTTTTATGAGAAAAGCGGTTGAGTGAAAACGTCAATTTTCAGACCCATATTTGCCAAGCTGGTAAAAATCAGGATTCTAAAGAACTTTTATCAAACTTTCCACATCGGTGGAGTGGCGTGTGCTTTATACATGGTGAAAATTTCAAATTCCCACTTGCACTTTTGTACAAGATACGATTTTTTTCATGAGAAAGCGCAATTGAGCAAGTATTCCAAAATTCTGCTCCATATCTTCAAAGTATGCAAAAATCAGGACTTTTCAGCAATTTTTGTAAAACTTATCTACTTATATCAAATTTTCAGCATCTGTACAGCCAACTTACTGTTAAAGATGAGGAAAATTACAAGTCGATGGTTCCGGTATTTTGTAAGTTGCGAAAATTTCCAGCAGAGAGAGCAGTTGAGCAAAAACTCCCATTTTAATATTGCTATTTACTAATTTTGATTCCCACAGCTAGCAAAGTTAGAAAAAAATCAGGATTTAGGGAGATTTTGCTAAAAATTTCCGTCTGTGTAGTCGAGTGTTGTTTGAAGACAGTGAAATTATCAAATTGCTACTTGTTTTTATTTGAGAGATGCGCATTTTTTACACCAACAAGTTTAAGGGTAAAAATACAAGTTTTTAACCGCTATTTCTTGAGCTGGCAAAAATCCGCATTCAAGGCAAAGTTTATAAGACTTTCAATATCTGTGCAGCTAAGTTTCCTTTAAAGATGGGGAAAATTTGGAATTGCTACTTGCTTTATTTTGGACGATGCCAATTTTTCAACCTGGGAGAGAGCAACCGAGTTCAAACTTCCATTACTAGACTGCTATGTACGCATTTTAAGGCCCATATTTGCTCTATGCTGGAAAGAATCAGGCCAATTTTGGCGTCTTCCTTTGGCTAAATTTTTTTATGAACCAATAGAATCGTGTTGGTTTTTTGCCTGTGAATCGTTCGAGATCAGGAATAATCTACGCAAAATCTTTAAATAATTTTGCGATTGTCATAAGCACCATTGCATCGGATTTGGGGTAGTTTTCAAAGTGTGCGCTTCAAAATTAAAAGAAAATATTACAATATCAAACATACAAATGCAAAACAAAATAGTCAAAAACAGCCTGCCAGATTTTTTCCACCGTTTCTAAATGACAATCATGCATTAAAAATAATTGTAACCGCATTTCCTGAAGCAGTTATTCCACTTCTTCAGTTTCCGCAACTGTTTTGATGAAAACAATCCCCGAATGAAAACAATTTTCACCCTTTTGAATGAAACACGGCTTTAGGGTTCGATGCGTAAAAGGATTCCGCCGTTCACTTGACCAACAATTTTACCCCTTGGGCAGTTACCCTTTGACGGAGTGTTTTCACAGGGGAGTTTTATAACCGCCAAACTCAATAATGAGTCGTATTAGGCCACTTGAGGTGGCTAACTGGACGGAACAGTTTCCCGCTTTTATCAAGTCGTGTGAAACAACAACAAATGCCCGAATGGTCCCTATATCGGTTGCCCTGAAGAGCAATCACACCGAATGGTTGACGGATGAAGCTTCGTGTCCATCAATCAGGACATCAAGAGCCAATTTTCGGCTCTGTTTGCAAGGTTATTTGCTGATGAGTGTCCAAACAACGAGTTTGTGCTTGGGAAGGTTTGGGATTTGTTGGCTCATCGATCTATTAACCTAAAGCCTTTTTTTTTTCTAATAACCTCAAAAGTTGGGAACCGAATAGAGCCATTGGAAAGTTATTAAGACAATTCCAAATGCTGCGACGTTTTCCTGTGAAGTGTATGGGTTTGTTTTTATTTACCATGTCTTGAAGAGCCCTTCTGTTATTGTTCTCAATGTTTCACTCAGGACGGTCGATGGTGATGGCGCCGGAATGCACGAAGGACCATGACGGGGCTTTTTGAACAAATATACAGCTTTCCGACTCGAGTGGGGTATTTAAAGATGGGATTTCTGTCCATTTTTGTGTAGGTAAATATTTGGCTTTATACGACTAATAGCCTTTTACTATTGAGGCTTCTCCACTGGGAATGAGGGTTTATCAATATTTGCCTTCTTGGCTTTTTTAATTGGAGAAGAATTCGCTGCATTCAAAATTATTTAACTCGATTGCCGGGTATCGTTTCTACTAATACTGCTTCTAACTAGAGTTGTAAGTGATTATCAATTATGTGTGAAATTGACCGCGGGAATAACTTCTTCATTTACATAGTAGTTGTTTGGCTTTCGTCAAACGACGTTCTCAATTGACCGATTAACTGTTAATAAATTTTCATGCCTGGGAATTAGATTCAGTTTCCATGCTGTTTACACGGGAACTATTGGTTTCCTTAATTTAATTGGATTATTTAAATATTTGCTTATGGAAAAATTGAGTGGCAATCATTTCTCTGTTTAAAAGTGAGAATTTCGTCTTCTCTAAGGGATTTTTTCTTAACATCCTGTTTTTACCAAGCTGGCGAAAATCTGAACTTTGTTTCCGATTTTTATGCGACTTTGAGCATCCTGGGAGTCAAGTCTCTTCTATAGATTGTGAAACGATTGTGAAACTTTCAAGTTACCACATGCTTCAATTTGGAGGACACGAATTTTTGTGCGAAAGCGCAGTTGGGTAAAAATATCAATTTTGAGTCTTTTGTTTACTAAGCAGTCAAAAATCAGTAGTTCGGGCGATTGTTATGAAACTTCAGGTCTCTGCTAAAGATAGGGAAAATTTCAAAATCTTGTCTGCGTTACTGAAGAAGGTAGGATTTGTTTATGTGAAAGTATAGTTGGGTAAAAAAAGCTTTGTTGGAGTTGTTGAAAAAAAAAGTTGGAGAAAATTTGAATTTTGTACGATTTTTATGAAACTTTCTACGTCTTTAGCCCGCAGTGTTTTCGAAAGATTATAAAGTTTGAAACTTTACACACACATGCTACATTTTTAAATATACGCATTTCAAAGGGACAGCGCAATTGGGCAGAACCTTTCATTTTGAGACTCACATTTACCAATATGGAAAAAATCAGGATTTTCGACTATGTTTATGAAACATTCGAAATCCTTAGAGCCGAGTGTGTTCGAAGCACTGAAAAAATTGCAAGTTACTAGTTGCGACAGTTTGCATGATGCGAATTTTTTAAATCAGAGAGCAGTTGAGTGAAAACATCCATTATGAAACTACATTTTACCAATTTAGAGACCATTTCAGCTTGGTAAATAAGCTGATAAAAATCAAGAGGTTTGCCCATTTTCATGAAAATTTCGCCACCGTTAAAGTCAAGTGTATTCTAATATTAAATCAATTCTAAGTTACCACTGGCTTAGTTTGGAAGATGCAAAAATTTAAAGACGAGCCCAACTGAGTGAAAACGCGCACTTTAAGATCCACTTTACCAAGCTGGAAAAAGTCTAAAGTGTTGGGCGATATTTCGCACACTTTGAGCATCATTTGAGTCATGAGTTTTCTAACGATGCGACCAATTGCTAGTTACGAGCTCTAAAAGACCGGAAATTACAAATTGTTAGAGAAGGTCTCAATTCAATCAAAACGCACAATTTGAACATTTACCGAGCTGGAAAAGATCAGAAGTTCCATGGATTCTTATGACACTTTGCGCATCTTAAGAGTCAAGTATCTTCTAACGATGGCACTAATTTCAAGTTCCTACTTGTATCAGTTCGGAAGTTGCACGCCTTTAAAAAGAGCTCAACTGGTTAAAACGCACAATTTGAGATATACATTTACCAAGCTGGAAGAAATTAGACAGAAAAGTCCTGGGAATTTTTAAAAATTATAGTAAATTGTTTGCTAAAAACTGGACTAGTTGTAAGTGATTACTTAGGTCACTTCGGAAACTTCGAATATTTAGAGAAGGTTTAACTGAGTAAAAAACGCACAATTTGAGATCCACATTTACTTAGTTGAACAAAACAAAACTAGGACTTTTGGAGATTTTTATGAGACTTTTAGCGTCTTTAGGGTCAAGTGTGTCCTATTGATTGTGAAACTTTCAAATTCCTACATGCTTTAGTTTGGAGGACACGAATTTTTATGTGAAAGCGCAGTTGGGTAAAAATACCAATTTTGAGCCTCTTGTTTACTAAGCAGTCAAAAATCAGCAGTTCGGGAGATTTTTATCAAACTTTGAATATTTCAATAGTCAGGTGTCGGCTAAAGTTAGTGAAAATTTTAAATTCTTGTATGCGCTATAGCATTTGTTTATGTGAAAGTATAGTTGGATAAAAAAAGTTTTGTAACCACAATTTACTACGCTTATCATGCTGGAAAAAAACTGAGTTTTGTTCGATTTACATGAACCTTTCTACATATTTAAGCCGCAGTGTTTTCTAAGGATTATAAAAGTTGCAAAATTAAAAATGCTATATTTTTGAAGATGCGAGTTTTAAAGGGAAAGAGCAATTGGGTAGAACCTTTAATTTTGAGAGTCACATTTACCAAGCTTGAAAACGTCAGGATATTTTCAACGATGTTTATGCAACATTCTAAATCTTTAGACCTGAGTGTGTTCTAAGCACTGCTTTAATAATATGCATAATGTTGCATGATGCGAATTTTTAAAATCAGAGAACAGTTGAGTCAAAACATCCATTATGAGACTACAATTTATCAATTATAAGACCATTTCAGCTGATAAAACGCAGGAGTTTTGCACATTTTTATGACAATTTCTGTACCATTAGATGCAAGTTTATTCTAATATTACATCAATCCCAAGTTACTACTTGCTTAGTCAGCAAGTTGCAAAATTTTAAACAAGAGCTCAACTGAGTAAAACCTCGCAATTTGAGATCCATTTTACCAAGCTAGCAAAAGTCTAAAGTTTGGGCGATTTTTCTCACAGTTTGAGCATCATTTGAGTCATGTGTCTTCTAACGATGTGAGCAGTTGAAAGTTACGAGCTCCAAAAGATCGGAAACTACAACTTTTTGTAACTTGAACTTGTATCAGTTCGGAAGTTGCATGCCCTTAAAGAGAACTCAACTGGTTAAAAACGCATAATTTGAAGTCCACATTTATCAAGCCTTAAAAATCAAAGGTTTAGGCGATTTCTATACAACATTCACTTAATTTCGACCCAAGTATTCATTATTGTACTTATTTCAAGTTACTACTTGAACAAGTTCAAAAATTGCAAATTTTCAAAAAATAGCTCAACTGAATAAAAACGCACAGTTTAAAATACACTACCAAGCTGTAAAAATAGAAATTTTGTGCGATTCTTCTCACACTTAGCATTGTTAGATTCATATGTCTGCTAACGATGCGACCAATTTAAAGTTACGAGTTCCAATAGTTCAGAAACCACAATTTTTTAAGGAAGGGCTCAATTGAGCGAAAACGGACAATTTCAGATCCACATTTACCAGTTGGCAAAAATCGGAAGTTCAAGGGATTCTAATGACACTTTCCGCATCTTAAGAGTCAAGTAATGGCTAACTTTGGTGCCTACTAATTCGAAGTTGCTACTTGCATCAGTGCGAAAGTTGCAAGCTTTTAAAGAAGAGCAACAGCAACTGGTTAAAAGCGCACAATTGGAGATCCCCATTTACCAAGCTGGACCAAATTCGCAGTTCTGCGGATTTTTATCACAATTTCAGCAAATTTTGAGTCAAGTGTTTGCTACAAACTGTACTAATTACAAGTTACTACTTGCGTTCGTTCGGACATTGCGAATTTTTAGAGAAAGTTCAAATGAGTAAAAACTGCGGAATTTGAGATCCGCATTTACTTAGCTGAACAAAGCAAAATTAGGATTTTCGGGGATTTTTATGAGACCTTTAGGATGTTTAGTCAGGTCTGTTCTAAATATGGTTCTGAATTCCAGTTACTACTTGCATTAGTTAGTAGACCGCTTTTGCTAACTGTTTCAGCTTCTTTAGACTCAGATGTTGTCTAAAGATTGTGCCAATTTCAGCCTACTACTTCTATTAGTTCGAAAATTGCAAAATTCGCTTTATTAGGCTGGCAAAAATCGGTTCAGGCGATTTTTAAAATACTTTTAGCATCATTGGAGTCAAGTATTTTCTAAGTATTGAAAAAATGTCAAGTTGCAACTTGCTTGAGTTCGAGAAGAGAAACTTTTATGAAAAATCTCAGTTGGGTATAAATAACAATACCGATTTTTTAATAAAACGAAAAAAAAACAGGATTATTTTCGATTTTAATGTAACTTTTGGCATCTTTACCATTAAACATGGTGATAGTTTCAAATCGTCGGTTGGCTTAGTTTTGAAGATATGAATTTTTGAAGAAAAGGTGGCAATTGTGCAGATTTTCATTTGAAGACCGATATTTACTAAGCCGGCAAAAATCAGAATTGCTGAATATTTTCATGAAACTTTCACCACTGTTAGACTAATGTGTCTTCTAAGGATGGTGAGCATATGGAGTTGCTATTTGCTTTAATTCAAGATGCACATTTTCAATCGACTGGGAGAGAAAAGTTGCAGCGTTTGTTAGCAATTTTAGGAAGAAAAGATGCATGCAAAGGATATATATATACATATACATAAAATGATTAGTCGAGCTTTTATTTGAGGTGAGTCGAGAATGCAGAATATGCAGTGAAATGCTTGAAATATTAACTAATGGATAAATTAACTGCTGAAATAAATTCACTTAAAGTCAAATATTTTCCATCGATATGACTTATCAGTTCTCATTTTTTCCGGGAGTAACCGCTTAATGCAGCATAAAAACTATTTTTGATAAGATTTGAAGGGTTCTATTTTACCACTTCCTACTTTAATTTTGCTGAATATAGTATAATGCAGTCAGACTTCATCATCAGCCACGATATTTCTCTGGTAGGTTGCAAGCTTTGTCTCTTTTCTGTGTTCCACTCATTGTCTGTTTCCGCTTTTCTATGGCTTCCCTCTTAACAATTATTTCATTAAGGAAACACGTCAATATCATGCCAATCGTGATAAAGAAGTGCGACTCATTTTTATCTGTGAGTAACAATGAGCCCACACTAATTAACTTGTTTGGTGCTTGACTGTTGGTGGTGATTTTACAAGCACATACCCAAAGGCCCGTCAAAATAGTAATCGATTAGCATTCACATTCATCATAATCCTTAATCTTATCTGTGTAATGGATTAGCTTAGTCCAATGTCTCACTAAGTCCCAAAGTAAACAAATCTGCTTTCAGAGTGTCTAATCTTCAAGTTGGCCATTTGTGAAGCAACTATTCGAGTGTGTTGTTCACTAAGCCGGAAAATAATGGTTCAACACCCAGTTCAGGTCTTCTGGGGCTTTCTGTGTCTGATTTGTGTGAAACTGACTGTTGGAGAAACGTGCCCCACTCTAATTACCAGTTTGCATCAGAAGAACTGCACCGATAAGTCAGACAACAGAACAGCTTACTACCTAGATAAAACCAGCTGCATTCCTAGATGCAGCATTTACCCTACAGGTACAATCAGGGAGCTGTTGGTAGATCTGCAGCTTACCGAAGTCAATTTGTTCTAGAGGTGCAAACTAGAACATGTCCGAACGGGGTAAGTGACTGCATCACCGGATTCAACTGTGAAGGCAGATGTTCAGGTGGAGGTAAGCAGAAAAATGCATAATTTAGTAAGCAGCCACTTGCATTCAAAAACAGCGACGGCTCAACTTATTCTGCTAATTATCAGGCGGTGAGGACTTTGCTTGCGAAAAACAAGCTGATTGCATACAATTCGGTCCAAGAGTGCAATGTGGCAAATATTGCGTGCTTCCAGCAAGTGTCGATGATGGCCAGTCGGGTAAGGAAACCTGAAAAATCAACATCAGTATTCCAATTCGGACTTACTTTAGTGTCGTGCATGGCGTATCACTCAAATTTACCCGAATATGTGAACTCCTATTGGACTGCTCAGAAATTCAAACCGGTGTGTGATGATGATGGCAACTGGATGCCCAAACAGTGCAAAGGAGGGCTGCAGGGAAGGTGCGTTGTCTTGTTTTTATTGTTTACATGTTTAAGTCTTTGTCGGCTGCTTGGGGGAAAGGAGAGTTTTCTCGTGATGAAACAAGAAAATAGATAGAAAGCTCGCAAAAAAATCAGAATTTTCTGCGATATTTATGAGCTTTTGAGCATCTTTAGAGTCAAGTGTCTTTTAAATATTGTGAAACTTTCAAATTCCTACATGGTTTAGTTTGGATGGCACGAATTTGTAATGCGAAAGGGCACTTGGGTTGTTTAACAAGCGGTCAAAATTCGGTAGTTCGGGCAATTTTTGTCAAACTTTGCATTTGCTGATAAGAAAGCAAAGTTGGGTGGAAAAGTTTTGTAGCCACAATTTCCTACGCTGGAAAACATTATTTTTCCGATGAATTTTCTGCAACTTTCAGCATTTGCTTAGTCAAGTCTCCTTACAAATGGTAGAAAATTCAAATTACGTCTTCCCTTATTTTAGAAGATGCAATTTATTCAAGAACAAGCCTACATACAGTCGCAAAAAAAATATAATTTGAAACCCATATTTACCAAGCTGGAAAACATCAGGCTTTGGGGCGATTTTTATCACACTAGCAGCATCTTGTGAGCCAAGTGTCTTATAAAGATCGTGAAATATTTTTATTATAAGTTTTTTTTCGTGGATACTCCTTTGGACCAAAATTTACAAAACAGGCAAATATCAGATTTTAAGGTGATTTTTCTAAAGCTTTTATTATATAGTGGAGAGTCATTTAAGGATTTAAAATTTTAAATTTTTTTCACGATTTACTTTGGGAAACAGTGTTTGATTATGAGAAAGAGAAGTTGTGCAAAAATGAAAATTGTTAGACCCTGGTAAATATTAGTTTTGGCGCAATTCTTATCAAACTTTCAATATTTGTTTAGTCAAGTGTGTTTAAAAGATTGTGGAATTTCCTAATTGCGTCCTCATTTAGTTTTAAAGATGTGAGTTTTTGAGGAAAACACAGCAGGTGCGTTAAAAAATTTCTTATGAGAGGAATTTTACAATTTTTTTATTTTATTTATTTCTTTATTTCAAATTACATTCTGATACATACACATGTATAAATAATACAAAATGAAATGGCGTTAAAAAACAATTGACAAAGGACATATACTAAAAGGTACTGTTGTTACATATTTAAATAGTCTCTAATACTATAAGGATCTAACTCAATTAACATCTGTTTTAATTTATTCTTAAACAATTTTTCAATTCTTACTTTTTTAATGTTGTTTCCTAGTTTATTAAATAAGTTTATACCCATATAGTACGGACTCTTTTCAGACAGTGTTAGTCTGTGTGTTGGATACAAAGTGTTTCCCGTGCGGGTGCTATGATTCTGGTTAACGTTGTTATCATGTAAATACATACTCTTAAAAACACATAATATTACCTCAAAAATGTACAGACCGTATACAGTTAAAACACCCTTTGATTTAAAAACCCCCTGACAAGACTGCAAAAGAGACATTCCGTAGATAGTCCTTAGTATACGTTTTCGTACTGTAAATATATTTCGAGTCCTCGAGCTACTCGCCCAAAAAATTATTCCCTGCCTAAGTG